TAGCTCCAGAGCAGTTGTACACAGTCCTACAGGACACACTGTTGAAGGGTGTATAGCTCCAGAGCAGTTGTACACAGTCCTACAGGACACACTTTTGCAGGGTGTATAACTCCAGAGCAGTTGTACACAGTCCTACATGGTAGACCTGTCATGTCTAAAAGCATATCTCTGCTCATGCTCTGCTTGAAGAATAATTCTAGGTATCCTGGAATGTTTCTCTTAAACATGTAAAGAATACTGCAAAGCATAGGTGCAGGCTCTGCATTTCCACAACTTTATGAAGATATTAATATTTAAATCAGCTAGGCAAGACATGAACAGTGCCATGCCAAAAGAAAACGATTTTTGGGCTTTGTCAGGCCAAAAAGATAAAAAATGCTGGTCTAATCTGCACTGAAAGAAGCCCTCAGCCTTTCTTCAGTGAGCAGAGCTGTTCGTCACCAATACCCTTATCACATTTCTAGAGAGATAAGTTACCAATGTAACCGGTAATGACTATTGCAGGTTCAGCGCTATGGTATGCTGTAGCAGATTTAGTCTTTTTAGTTCAGATCAAGTGCAACATGCAGGTCCAGATTCATAACTAATAGGAAACCCAGGCCTAACTAGAGTTGGTTCTATCCATAGATACCCGCTCCAAACACCACAAATACATAATCCATAAAACCTGCTACCAACATGACCTGGAGCCACTATAGCACTACTCTTTAATTTTTGTAGCGATTATTATAATGCTGAAGAACAATACAGTAGGCTGATGCAGCACATTCATCTCTGAAATTTTCTCAAGTCTCATCACTAAAAATGATTTGTAGTCTCTGATGTTTTGATAACAAACTGAAGAGAATCCCAGAGAAAGTCATATTCACTTGAAATACAATTAATTTCCTGAATTGTGTGACTAAAATTGCATATTTTGTATGAGACAGACAAGGCAGTGTCAGTGCTGGGGGTACAAAAAGGGCCATAGGCCAAGGGAAATCTGTCACAAATCATCAATCACAAAACACTCATCAAAAAGACACTTTCTCAGAAAACAGAACAAAATGCTGATACATGGAAATCAATGTCCACATTTGCCTTTTTCTTCTCCACATTAAGATCAATTTTGAGTTTGCTTTATAAAAGGTGCAGTGTCCTGTATGTTTTTTTTTACTTTTTATTTAGTTAAGGAACAGTAACCTTGACTTTTCTTCACATGCAAATGAGTGCCCAGTAGTTACCATTACACTCTTTGTATTTTTATATTCCGTTTTCTGAGCTACCTGTACAGTCAAGCTTGTTGATCAACATGTATAGCCACCTACTTCCACGCGTGGCAGTGGGAGTTTGCTTGCTTGGCTCAGAGTCAAGTGGTGGCAAGCAGGCTTCAAGGAAGGTGGAGCCTGTGTCTCTGAAGCTGAAATTACCTTTGGGGAATATAAACAGACTGAGCAGTCACCGCAATCTGCACCCTCTGAGCACAGGAGCGGGAGGGGGAAGAGGGAAACACAGTGGGGAAAACGTGGGGGTGAAAATGCAGCAAACTGTCACCAAGGACTCAAACTTCAGCACAGTGCAACCCCATTATTCCCTGTGTCTCAGTGAGTACTGCAGTCTGGTAACCATAAGGGTTCCCTGTGTTTGCAGGTATTCACATTCAGCTGAGATCACTGAGAATAGAAAGCTAAGACTTAAAATGAATGACATATAAGTTAGGGAAAATATAATGAAGTGCCACTCTAGCTCCTAAAATGTTTGCAAGGTTTATTTGTGAAATGTATCAACCGGAAAATAAAGAAAAATCCATAATGGCAGTTGTGATTACTATTTGTTAATGAAGTGTGCCTTCATATTATTTGTGACATTCTTTTGGGGCTGCAAAACACTTACAGAAAACAAAAGATGTTTTCCACTATTTGAATTTGATTTCTCTGTAGTACACACTCAGGGTGTGAACCGTAAACAAACACTTTTTTTTGATGGGGAAAAGGTCATTTAAGGGGTCATGAACATTAACTAAGATTGGAGCCAAACCAGTATGACATGATATGATACCTCACAAATCAGCACCTTAGCAGGTTTTAAAACGCATACAATGAAAGGTGCATTTAGATACCTGAAGAAATCCCAATTAAGGGAGATTTCTGCTGTATTCCCAGATCACTCTATTCTTAACTCATGGCATTTCTCAATAATGAAAATAAATCTGGTGAATCCAGGTTCCAGTGGCTTATTTTAAGAAAAGATTAATACTGAAGACTGAACCTGGAGAGTCTGGTTTCAGTCAGGGACTTCTGCTGAACTAAGTCTCAATATCAACTCAAACTTGGAGCATTGGGCTGAATGGAGAAGAGCAGTTCTTTTCAAAAGAATCAAGGGAGACTGGTGTTACAAGAAAACATTAGGTTTCATACTGTAACTAACAAAATACAGGTACCAGACCAACAAAGTGCCAGCTAGTTTCAATTACCAAACCACAAGCCACAACCAATAAAGACAAGCAAAAATGCTTTACTTAAAATTGAAGGACTGCTTCTACAGATAACAATAATAGGCAAGAATGAAGAAATAAGGCAAGTATTCAAGAACAGATCAAGGAGAACAAGCTGTTGTCATAAATTTATGCAATAGGGGACCTCCCTCAATGACAATGGTAGAGTTTTATGCTGAGAAAGCGCCATTAGAACTTCGGATAGGACACAAAACAGAAACAAAAAAGGAAATGACTGCACCCAAACCATGGCAAGAAACACAGACCTCTGAAATATCATAAACCCATCAGATTTCTTCAGTTTATGGGGAACCAAGCACTTAGAGCTGTAAATGTCTTTAGATTGACACCACATGTGCAATCGCCCAGTTGTCAGGAGATGATTTATCCGACTAGATCACATTTATCCTTATCTCACTAATCCATTGTCTGTACTCTTTGCACAACTGGATTGACAAACGTGCATTGCCAGACATCATGAATGGTATTCTGCTTCTTGGCAGACCATTTTGATGAAACTGACCCAGGTTGAAATTTCCATTCAATTGATCTGCAGCTGCTTGCCTGTTTTGACATGTGCGTCAAATGAATGTCTGCATCGATTACTCTAGTCTATATCTCTTCCATGGTTGACAGGCTCAGCCTAGGGATCTATTTTAAATAATAGTGCGTTTCCAAAGAAAAGCTGAAAAAAGCTCTTTAACAGGAACAGAATTTTTTCCTTTTAAGAGGAAATAGTGCGCTTAGTCTCGAGGCAAGGTCCTGCAAGAGAACACTAAACAGCCGCGTGAGCATTTAATGTTGTCGCCACTATGAGTGAACGCAGCCGTTGTAAATTGTATTGGAGAAGCATTCCCATCCGGCAGTCAGAAGAGTGAGGACAGAGCGTTATTTCTGGTCTTTGGGTGCCCTCTAGTGGTAATTAGCGGATTTTGTGGGGAAAAAAAGTCCGATATGGCACACTTCATGCACTCACTTGTCAGGAAATGCCAGCACATGGTGGATTCTGCAGTGTTAGAATTAATACCATTTAGAATCATACTGTATCTAAACAATTTTACATCACTTTTATCATTATTGTGAATTTTATAGTTGAAGCTTGTACAACTAATAAGCTTTAGAAAAGAGTACTACAATGTTAATATGCATAAGTGCCTAGCCAACGGAAACCCCACTGCAGTGATCTTACTCAGGGATGTAATAAGAAAAACTACCCTGTCTCAGCATCCCTACTGCCCCTGCTGAGCCCACATCACCCAGTTACCAGTGGGGCTGATATAGCCTGTTCAGCCTTCAGCAGCAGAGGCTTCTGCACTGTAGTGAGGGTCTTGTATTTATCAACTACAGCCATAGACAGATTTTGGACTAGTGCCAATTTAGAGACTAAATCTGCTTCTCAAAACTGTTGTACTTTGTTGTGATATACTAGAGATACTGTAAGTATTCTAATTTGATGATAGCTTATTGCCTCTGAATTAGATAGTGCCTGTTATAGTTAAAGCAGAGAGCTTTACAGGATGTCACTGAAAAGCTGTGTGCCACAGGAAATTCAGAAGATCCCATGGCTCATGAGGATGAAGGTGGCATACATTTATTTAAGAAGTACAACTCAGGATATACATTCTGATCTATCAATGGGAAACAGATGAAGTGTTTGCACTTACTCATTATGTACTATAACATAAAAAGCGCCTGGTTCAATAATTCTGACTAGACTGCACTGTGATGTCTTGTGGAACACTTCATTTTAGGATTTACCAAAACTTGCGATTAACTGTGTCTCACTAGAGGACAGGGTCTTGCTAGGACCATGGTCAGTGGGGCTGCTATTATGCAGTGTGGAACATGAACACCAGGTAATATCTAGCCCTTCACAATGAAAATGCTGGAACCAAACACAATATCTGCTAGCAGGAAAGGCTGGAAGGCCAGACCTAAGATGTGTATGACATGGCAAACATAGGGTGGTACTGGCTCTCTGTTAAGGTTTACAGGGACAACCTTGGCTCAGGAGCTTTGTCAAAGAGACTTTTTTACATTCTCAAATTCCCTCCTTACTTGATGCAGCTTCCTGACAGACTAAAAGGAGAATCATTTCCCCTGACTGGCAGATCAGTAGATATTATTCAGGTTGTGTGCCAGAGTGGAGAGTCTAATGCACAGGGCATTTGCATTTTAAACATTTACAGTAACTGCTAAATAGGTGATGAAATGTTCACAAATATCAGAGATTTAATGGTTCACTATTTATAGCTATTTAGAAATGTTATCCACTATACTGTATGTTTTAAATACATTTCTTCTCAAAAGCACACAGAAGTCATTTTGTACTCTTTGTACCACTTTTAAATCAGGATTGGTACAAGAATTAGCAATGTTTAAAATGCAGGAGACAATACTACTCATTGCTCCATTTATAAAACCAGAATTAGTTTAAATAATATTATGACTGATCCACAATTGTAATCCACAACTGAAAGCCAATAAAACCAAATCTAAGATGAAAATAGAGATGATTAGTGGAGGATGGCAGCCATATGAATTTCATCATATCTGAAGGGTGATGTTAGATCTCTAAAATATTCCAAAACAATAAAATGTTAATCTATTTGTATTTGTTCACTTCGCTGGAATCTCACTAAAATCAAACAACTTCAGAGTCAAAATGAGTCCTTCCTTCATACCATTGAAATAAAGGTTGATCAGGTTCAAAAGTGGAGAATGATAATAAGTCAATCAATGACTTATGATGACTATATAGGACACAGCACCTTTAATTTGAGAATTTTCATTTTCAGTTAGACAACAGCTTAATTTCACACTTTGCTTTTGGTGACTGTTATTATATAAATAAGCGTACTTCCAACCAATTCTGAGATAAATTTAAGAATGACTAGCATTTCTGAGAATGCTTTACTGGATATGTAGCAATATATAAACTGGCTAGAGTAACTGTAAAGTTTGCTAGAGTTGTTCTAGGTTTCTTGTAATTATGCAAAGCAGAACTTGTAACCAGGGTTGCAAGGATATGAGATATTGCCAAATCACCAGAACTGCATTAGTTCCTACATCAACCGTAAATACTGCCTAATCTTTACATTCTATTGTAGGTTTTATAGTTTGAATACTGTAGAATGTCCTACAAGTTATATTAACAAGTGTTGATTAGAAACCACTGGCAATGCTTGTATTAAAAACTGGTTAAGAAAAAGGCATGGGGAAGCATATTAAAGTTGATTCAAAATACTTTAGCAATAAAAAGAAAGGTGCAGTAAGTCCTGGAAGCAGGCTCTAAGAAATCTGTTTCAAAGTATTTTCTGGAATAGTCAATTAGGGTAGAAAATAACAGACTATAGGACGAAAGAACAGTAGAGTCACTCAAAACACACATACTGTAATAAGAAGGGAACAGGAATAAAATAAGCAAGGAAAATACAGATACATGTGTTTCAGGTTCCAGGAAATACCACTGTTACATTGCTTACTATTACTGCTATAACATATAATTACATCAATATTGTTTAATGCACACAGTGAAACATCAGTATTCTCAAGGGTTAAGTACCAAAAGGTTTTTGTGGATGGAAAATTAATGAATGCAGGAATTAATACCTTGTGGGAAAAACAGAACATACTATCTATGCTAGGCTTATGAAACTAGCATTTCTGTTGTAATATTTTTGTTTCAACCTTTAACAACAGGATTTCAGAAATAGCAATTAGGGTGGTAGAGTGGTGTTGTGGTTACCATTGCTGCCTTGCAGTGCTGGGGCCCTGGGTTCAATAATGGACATGGGTTTTATCTGTAAGATCTCCTCCAGCTTGTGTAGGTTTCTGCTAGGTCTCCAGTTTTCTCCCACAGTCCAAAGACATACAGGTAAGTTAATTGGCTTCTGGGAAAACTGGCCGTGGTGTGAGTGTGTGTGTTAGTGTCTGTGTATGCCTTGCGATAGACTGGTATCCCGCCTTTCTCCCATTGATTGCAAGGATAGAAGATGGATGGCTATGAGTAATCATTAATACTAAATAGATTTAATGAAAATGAGTACTTAAAAACTTAAAAAAAAACATTGACTTCCTACTATAATTCAAGTTATTTGAAATGAAAACAAATAACTTAGATCACTGTTATATTATAGCTTACTCTGTATTAGTACTTTTTTCATTCTAAATAGAGCTCATTTTATTTACTTTTTACATCTTGTTTTTATTACTATTATAAATGCATCACTACTGTACTGTAATAAAGTTTATTAAAGCAAAGTAATAAAAAACATATTTTTTTATGACATGCAAGAAATGACACTGTATTAACATAGGTGACCATGGAGGTTTTTTAATTTAACATTTATTTTATTTCGCTGCATCATATACTGTACAGGCACTACTCTTATAAAAGATCGCACATCTAACGCTTTCCTGAAGAAAACTGAATAAAGCATAACACATGATGCAATTCTACAAAGATATGTTAACTGTTTGTTAGCCAGGCTATATCTTTACTACACAGAGAAAGTAGATCAGTGAGGTTAAAATACTGTGGAAGTGGGTGCCCACATTTATGCTCCTACTGCGTAGCTCATGAATAGGTGAATTTGGTGGTCACTTAATTTACGAATATCAAGGTTTTACTGTATATGAAATACTAGTTGCTATTAAAGCTGCTATAGAAAGTCCTAGATGGATTAAAAGAAAATGACAGCACATACAGTAGGAATTTCAGTGTTTTTTTGCTAGAAAGTTAAATTTGCTCACTGCACATGTTTGAAGGTGAACATCTAGCAAGACACAACACACATGTGTGGAACAGAAAGCTAAAGATTTCTAACTTAAATACAACTATGAAAATGTAGCTAAATTCCATTGTAATAAAGAAAAACAAGCAAAATTGTATAACAAATTTACCAACTACGAAAAGTTCAGGGTATTTAACCCTTGAGAATACTGAGCTTTTATTTTGTGCATTAAACAAAGTTTACAGTAATTGCACCAGATTTCAGTTCACCTGCATACAGTTCAAACTGCCACCCTGCTTAGAATACATTAAACATGTTGCAACATACAAACACACAAATACCTGGAAGGGCAAAGATTAATTTCCTAGCACCATCGATGTCCAAGGTTGCAAAGGTTGTAGGGAGACTGGAATAAAACAAAGAGGAAAAAAGAGAACTCTATTACATTGGGGCTGTTCAAAAGACAATGTGCTATGACACAAAAAAACAATACTTTATGAGAAGTGGGAAATCTTTATGTAAAAGCCACCTTTTGAGTAGAGGGAATTTAAAATTGAAATTTCCAAATCAGACAGCAACACTCAAATGCTTTGACAATCATGTCTTTAACATTTAATAACAAATGTTTAAATGTTATGCTTTGATTGTTGATTTTATCCTAAGAAATGTCAATGTTTTTAAATATTGTAAAAAGGACTTTGTTCTACTTGAGACATTTATAATGGGTTATAAATTACATCCTAAATGTAAAAATGCAATTACTTAAAATGTGAATTATTTCAGAACTACCTGTAGATATGCTGTGTTACTAAAATTAGATTTTATTGTGGAATTCCATGATTGCTTGACAAAAACAAATAAGCTCTTTTTGGAGAGAGGAAATGTGGAAAAAACTGGATTGGATCAAAACATAATGAAAGCTTTTAGTTATACCAAAGTGCTCTGGATATATTAATGGACACAATTATACTGGTTTTGGATTTCTGGTAAAGAGGGAAGAGTGGTTCCTACTGCTCAATTAACTTGGCTTGTATTGCTGATAAGTCCTACACTCCTAGCCTTGTTCTCCTAGTTCTGCTAGCCTTGCAGAATGTAGCACTTGAAGAAAAAAAAACTTACCCTGGTTTCATAAAAACTCGTCCAAAGTGAATCTGAGCATGAAGGTCGATATCCAGCACCTGCTTCAGATAATCCTGAAAGGAAACAGGGAAATGCTTCCTAAGAACACTTCCAATCATACAATTACAGCAAGAACAGGGTAAACCAAAACGCAAGATCTGCAAACCAGTGGTTAGAGAATCCAAATCCAATGACATCTTAACATAATGTTTTCTGCAGTACACTCTCACTGGATCCTTCATGTGTAATTTACTACTCTGTGTCCTTCTTTAAATTTTTATGGGCTTTGTGGCCTGTTGTTACATGTTTCTGTGTCACACTAAAGGGCAACTAAAATTACTACTGTCAATGACAGCAGACTGCAAATCCTGAAAGGGAGTTAAAATGGAATAATGGAATTCTTTTGGCTTAGTGAGACAGTTAAGCAGAATAATAATAATAATAATTGCTTACATTTATATAGCGCTTTTCTGGACACTCCACTCAATAAGCTTTACAGGTAATTGGGACTCCCCTCCACCACCACCAATGTGCAGCATCCACCTGGATGATGCGACGGCAGCCATAGTGCGCCAGAACACTCACCACACATTAGCTATCAGTGGGGAGGAGAGCAGAGTAATGAAACCAATTCATAGATGGGGATTATTAGGAGGCCATGATTGGTAAGGGCCAATGGGAAATTTGGCCAGGACGCCGGGGTTACACCCCTACTCTTTACAAGAAACGCCCTGGGATTTTTAATGACCACAGAGAGTCAGGACCTCGGTTTTACGTCTCATCCGAAGGACGGCGCCTGTTTACAGTATAGTGTCCCCGTCACTATACTGGGGCATTAGGACCCACATGGACCACAGGGTGAGCGCCCCCTGCTGGCCCCACTAACACCTCTTCCAGCAGCAACTTTAGTTTTTCCCAGGAGGTCTCCCATCCAGGTACTGACCAGGCTCACACCTGCTTAGCAGGGTGATATGGCTGCCGGCTAAAATTACTACTGTCAGAGAAGCTGTCAGAAACCAGAGAAGCTTTCCTAAGAGATATCGCCAAATGAAAATAACAAAGAGGCACGTCTTTATACATCTGGAACAAGCTATGAGTTATTGAAGTTGACACACTGGCTTGCCACAGATCATTAAGCTAGTAGCATAATGATATGAATGGCATCTTGTTGTTTTGACTGTGGAGTCATGTGGGATGTATTTGGTGTGAAGGTGCTCTCGACTGAGATTGCTGCCTCAGTAACCACAGCTGAGAAGAATGAATGTTAACGAACCTCAGCTGTAGAAGTGGTTAAAGAGCACGCTGAATGCTTCCCTGAGACAGATTGAGCCAGGACTTCAGTCCTGAGTTGGCTGCAGTTGTAAGAGGACGTGGGAGATTAGGTCTCCTGTATGCAGAGGCTCAGCAGTGAGACAGCTGGGCTGAAGCAGGATAGCAGCAGGTGTGAGATGCTCCTGGTGCGGGTGCTATTGGGTGAGTGATGACTATTGGGTGACTTATGAAACTGACACAGAAGGCATGGAGTCGGAAGATGCACTTAACAGAAGCTGTGTTAGGTAAGCAGTGGTGCCTAGGCAGGGGTTCGAGGTGCGCCAGAATCTGTAGGTGAGGAAAGCGCAGTGATGGTTGGGGGCTTGGAAGGTGTGCCAGAAAGTGTGGGACGTGAGAATGAGGCACCGGAGAGGTTGTGTATGAACGGTATATATGTAATTTTAATTAGGGAATGTCTCTTGAATCTTTGCATGAGGTGGCAAATAAGAATGTTAAGTAGTGTGTGAGACCCATCCAGGTGGTGTCACGAGGTGGCACCAGCGGCTGGAAGTGGACCTGGAAGTCCAAGGGCTGACTGGTTGTGAGAGAACCAGTAGCCATCAGTGGGAGCAGGAGGCTCATTGTTGGTGGCTAGGAGCAGAGAGGCTCCTAACAAGTCATCAAGGTGAAGCTCGATGAGCCCTAGTAACTGCGAGCGAAAGGCTTGGAGAGGACAGGGATCCCAAGCTGGACCTTGGCATGGTTGTGGTGGAAGCTGGGCTCTCGGAGAATGTGATCCCTTTTGTTCAGGTTACCTTGAGGAAGAGGCCAATGTTAACATCACTCTGGAGGAGAGTGTGTGTACAGGTACAAGAAAATTCAGCAGCAGACTGAAAAGGGGGCATTTCCAGAGTATTAGACATGCCTGTTAATGTTCAGGTGGCGGCCCAATACCCCCAGGGCATCACATTTTGTTTTAAATATGACATTTTCCAAGTTTAAATAATATTACTTTTTCATCCAAAACAAGACTTTCTAAATGAAAAGTGTTAGTCTACCTTGGCCAGGTGTGAGCTCTCCTGTGGTCACTTAAAAGTTGCTGTGTTACAGTAAGTGTAAAGAAACAAGACAGAGCACACTCAGTGACCCACACAAACCTGAGATATCACTGCCTAGAATAACTCCCAGCTTACTTAGAATAACTTACAGCTTTTTATTGTTCTAGATGTGAAATTTGCTTTGCAGGCAGGTAAAAGACATACAACATTACAAACACATTAACAAATAAAATACATACATGTACATGTATGATGAGAAAGAATAAATAAAAATAATTATATAAATAAAGTAAAATATACAATCAATTGTCTAAATTAAGCAGGTTGATAGCCATGGGAATAAAAGATAATTTAGTTCTATTACATTCTAGGTAGACACCCAGATGAAAGGAAATACATTATACAAGGTTTAAATTAATTATTCAAGGAATGTTCATGACAGTCAATGCTTATGTTGGTCAACTGCAGTATTTGATGTAGATGAATGAAAGCTGTATCTACACAGCTTATAATTGTGGTGGCTATCTTCACAGTCTTGCTTATTCTGTTTTTATTAAGTGTATAATATCAAGGTTACAAAACCAGGTTAATGCAGTGAATGTTAGGACAGATTCGGAGATTGGAGAATTCAGCAGGACAAAGCCACCATCTTGGTATATTAATTTTATAATTGATTCTATTTTAATATAATACCATTTTAATAAATTAATCAAAAGTAGGCATATTAGCAACTTTGAAGCATTATCAATGGCACACAGATCTATAAACAGAAGAGAAAGAGTTAACTCTTGGCACGCCACTTCTGAAAGCTTTACAACCGATGATCTAAGAAAACAGGAAATTTAGGGAAAAAGAAAAATAACTTCAAAGGTTAGATAGTTTGAAAAAATGTCTACATTTGAATGCAGTACTACAACTGAGCACAAGATGGAAACATTGTACTGAAGATTTCTGCAGGAATAAGGACACAAGAATTTAATTAAGGTTACAAATGAGAAGAGGCCATTCAGGAGTTTATTCAGTATATTTACCTAGTTTTGTACTGTACTTAGTAATTAAGTGATCCAAGGGGCTAATCCAGCCATTTCTTGAAAGAAACCAAAGTATTAACTACAACCAGATGGCTGTGGAGCTTGCTCCAAACTCCCACAACTCTTAGGGTTAAGAAATGCCTCCTGTTCTCACTCCTAAATGCTCTTCCACGTAGTTTCCACTTATGTCCTCTCATTTGTGTCTCCTTATTATTTTTGCCTTGAGGACTTTGCATATTTATATTAAGTCCCCTCATAAATTCAAGACTAAAAAGATTGAGTATCTTGAGCCTGTTTACATAGGACATTCATTTAAGGCACAGAATGTATTGGATTGCTCTTCTCTGGAATGATTCCAGAGCAGCAAAATCTTTTTCTAATGTAGTGTGTCAACATAAACTTCCGTCTAGAAAAACCTTGCACTTGTCTACATTAAATATCATCAGCCAGTCTGGGTGTTTGCCCTGTCTATAATTTTATCTTTGAATTTTATTAAAAAGTGTTTCAATTACAGAAAAATAGCTGAGCCACAAATTAACTTACACTGTATATACTGTAAAAAGAAAGTGAGTTCCTTCCTGTTTTCATAAAAAGACCACTACTGAAAATAATTATTTTAAATAGCTTAGTACACAAAATAAACATAACATTGTATAAACAGTCTTCCAAAAGCATTGGAACAGCAAAAGAAAACTTATTTTTGACTGTAATTAATGATAATGAATGATAAATCTAAATTAATATATGTTTCATTTATGGGTAATTCCATGTGTAATATTAAAACAAAAACATACTTTGTTCTAAAATGATCACAAGCAATTGGACATATCTACTTAAAATAAATTTCAAAGTGCAAAAGTCAGTCATTGGTCGCAGACTCCTTTGAGGAAATGGATAAAGTGTGTGAACCATTGAGCTAAAAAAAACTGTGATCATTTTGAGATGCTTTGCTACAGCCACTTTGAGTTACAATATTCCCCATTCTTGGGATGTTTGCACACCTTTTCTGTGGTATGTAAAATTCATTCAGAAATTAATTTAAATCTGGAAATGTACAGTTGTGCATGAAAGTAAATTACATTTGTCACTATGGTTCACATTTTACCAGTAATAATAATAATAACAATAATAATAATAATAATAATGTTATTATTATTATTATTATTATTATCATCATCATCACCTTTTGTGCTTTTGTCCATCTGGCTTGGACAAGGAAAAAATATTACATTTGGAAATACACACAAGTATGTTCTATTTTTTCCCAATTCTATATGATGTGTTCTTGCAATTGGTGTTCAAAAACACATCACTAACTTTTGTCACTTGACACCATATTTAGGAATAATGTAATAATGAATAATTTAGGAATATAATAAGGAAAGTTAATTCGTATATGACTATTTTGAATAAAAAGTATATCCTGAAATCCTAAAATATATCCTATATCCTATAAATATATATCCTAAAATATATCCTGATCTAAGTAATTTTTCTCATTTTGTTATAGTTTAATTTAGAGCTTTGAAAATGTGAAATTTAAATGTTTTAATCTCTTTTACGCGTCCTACAGTACCTTCTCTCCCATGGAAACCCCTCCTGAAGTGATGATGACATCAGCGCGGCTGATCCCTTCATTGAGGGCATTAAGCAGGTCGTCAGGACTGAAAGAGAAGAGAAACAAAATGCTGATGATAACCTGATGAATAAATTAGATAAAACAATGACCTCATCCAAAATATTTGGGTTTTAATTTACTTCAATTAATTTGCTCTTTCTACATCCAAAATAAAAACTAAAACTTTCTAAGTGTTTTTCTCTTTTCCAAATCAACATTAATTGGGGACAGAAAATATACATCTAAAAAATGTAGTTGCAAAGCCTCTTGTTTGTCAATGGCCATAAAAGATACAACATTTTTGGTAGATTGCTATTGTTCCCTACATTGCATTCATAAAGCCATTTGATACCTTGTTAAGGGTTTAAAGACGTCAAACTGGAAACTGCACTTCTATTTACAGTACAAAGTTGTGGTACAAGGGCCATCAGGACCATCAGGGATTACGCCAAATGAATTTCTCTTCCTCATACCTGAAATATAATTTTCTGTGCTGTGAATTGCTCTGTGCTATCTGTGTAAGAATAGCTTTATAAAAATGTATTCAATATGAAATAGTAGGGTATCCTATCTCACACCTATTGTACATTGAATTTTTTACATTCCCTATTTCATGTTCGAGTTTTCCAAACGACTGATAATGCTAAGGAAATCACAGATGAAAACTACCAAAAACTGGTTGCACCGCACTTCATCTGAACAGATGGGTAGGTTCTCTATATTTAAAAAATAAAACCTTTCTGTCAAAAAAAACCCAAAACATATCCATTTTCAATTATAAAGGAAAACAATAAAGAGTAAAAAATGTGAGCATTTCAGAATCTAGTACGAATATGGGAACAGAAAATTGGTTCTGCGTGTATTGCTTTCCTATGTGCATTTTCTAGGACTCCTTTGGATAATGTGTGTTTTCTTGAACTTGAAAAATGAGACGTTTTGAGAACTGTACTAAACCTTTTCAAATGTCCAACTGTTTGTTTTCATGGCTCGCACAGAAGCCATCACTCAAATTTTGTGCAGCTTTAAAGTAAGCCTTTGAATACTGATGTGAAATGAAAACAAATGTGAGACATCTGTAGTGCATTTCTATCATATACTAAAATAATTCTCTCCAAAATTCTGCACTCCAGCAATCCTTTGCAATTGCTGGCCATGGAAAAAAAACTGTTCTAAAATATGAGAAGGCTCAGTACTGATGGGATTCCCAAAATTTTACAGAAACACTTTCTGGACATTGCATGAAAATAACAGGAAGGGAATGTCTAAAAATGAGTCATTCATTATGGTTTTCACTGATGCTGAATGAAACTTCTTTCATTCAGCCTGCCAAGAGAGTTCCAAAGATAAGGCACAAGTTTGTAAAATTTGGCAAAAGATTTCAGTAGGCTTAATACTAAAAGAAATAAAAGCATAATTATAATATCTAATAAATATAAAAATAATACAGCATTTCCACTAGGCACTTTGGGATTCACTTAAAGATGGTTCTGCTCAACTTCTAAAAGAAAGTACATGTATAACTAAGTGTTGTCTTGCAACGTGTGCTAAATAAAGTGTTAAGTATTTAAAGTTAGAATAATTTGGTTTACTCTGTTTGGCATAAGACCATAGGTCATATAATGAACCCCCATGCAGACAGAGGAGTGACCAAAGGACCATTATTTCCCATACGGTGATAATGTAGAACATTTGTGTCGTTATTTATGAGCACAGGCAAGTGTATTAGAAAGAATACAGTGTCTTGGTGAGGTCTGAATAAAATTGTAATGATACTACGCATTTTATACTACTTTTATTCCATAAAATCCTAAAGAGCTTTGCAGCTAGAAGGAGCAGATGTGCAACTCCAGTCAGGCATGCGATTGTAATTCTGCACTAACACCTAAGCAACACAGCATATGTGACCCACGTTAACATACGGTAACAAGTGAGCTGCATAGACCATAGCATAACTTCAAAAATAACAGATAATTATTTTCATTCTGGGAGTGTTTGCTTTGCGAGAACTGTTCCTGCAGACAGTAAAAGTATTTTTCTTAATGAAATCCAAAAAGTTTTTGTGAGAGGATGTTATATTTGATACTAAATATGTAAAAAAACCACATTGTATACGATTCCTCCTTTGTTTTCTGTATTAGTTCTGAAAAAGAGTATTACTCTTATGAATAACCAAAGTACAGTTTCTTTGCGCTGGTAGCTGTCCTTGGGTAAGAAACGGGTAAATGAGTAACAGGAAGCAGCTAAAAAGCCACACAATCTAGTAGGTTTGACTTTGCGATTGTAGGCTGGCACCTCTAGCCTCTTGAAAAGACAGATTCAGTCAAGCTTAGTTTTACTTCTGAAGTCCACTGTAGTAGCTTTGCCTTTATAGCTGAACTGTTTTTATTGTCTCAAAACCTGTCCTTTTAATTTTGCTTTTGACCTGTTCATTACTACATCTTTTGTTTTATTCAGGTCTGCTCATACACACTTGGCCATGCATGAAAACAACCTACTTGTCCCCAACGATTCCCAGGTTGATGGTGGGGTAGCCATGTTCCTGTATGGTAGCCAAGAGTGTGGACCTGTTGCTGTCTCGTATCTTCCCAGGGTGCAGGTCATCTTCTGGATTCAACAGCTAGAACACAGGTGTAAAGGCCAAGTTTACTGCTCCAGCTGTGTTTTATAGGCATAAAATGTAACTGAGGGAAAAACTGTTGTCACATAGTGCAGAGTGAAGAGTGTGTGACAGTGAACGTTAAGGCATTAAGATATGTTATTCAGGTAAACTTTTTGTATCAATGACAAGTTTAAAAATGGAACAAAATAAAAAGCAGAATTTTTAACTCAAGCCAGAATCACTTGGGTATGCACTCTGTTTTGTGAGTAAAAATGATTTTAATGGTCATCTGAAACATTGAATAGCAGTGGTAAAGACATATTTTTCTGCTGTTAAGCAATGTTTATAGGTGCTGGAGACAATCCCTTAAATTACCTAATAGAGTGGATCATTGATTATTTACTGACCAATAATATTTTTTTCTGTGTTTTCCTTAATTGTCAAGGCTGATCTGTTAAAAGTAGCAATATAGTCAGATTAATCTTGTGAAGCACTAAATGAGAGAAACGTGTACAAACGCTGTGTTTAAATGAAATTTAAAACAATGTTTTAAAATAATGTGCAAAAATATTATTACTATTCAGCATTTTTGAAAATCTGTTAATCTGTTCCCGGTAGGACGCTGGATAATTAATGTAATTATATACTGTACAAATTATAAATAAAAACGTTTTTGTTATTTTTACTCACTGAAGAGAAAATAATTCAGGTCTACGAAAGAACAGCTTTGCTTTTGTAAACGTATTGCCCATCTGTATAATTAAGTTATTTATAATGATGATTTTGTTAATCTTTCCTGTACAGCTATTTTGATTTTTACTTGCCAAAGCGTTTTGATCTTTTTCAGATTTCTGTTGGATTATGTTTTTGACCCCACATAAAGTAGTTCATGGTACATTACACTTTGGTATAGACAATGGTTTAGACATTAAAAACACAATAACAGCAGTGTTTTTGAATGTGGTGCTGCAAACAAAAAAATACTGTTATCCTGACTGACAACAGAGTCATCCAGAACAGACTGTAAAAAAAAGCTACAACGAAGAAAAAATAAGAAGCAAGCTTTCAGTGTTTCTATTTTACCTCATTCCCTGTTGACATCACTGCAACCACTGGAAATTTCTGAACTTCCACTTCTGTGACTCCCACAGTTGCTAGGAGACCAATTTCTGAAGGCCCCATGTGGGTGCCCTTTGCCAGCACACATTCTCCTCTTTTAATGTCATGGCCTATGGGTCTAGAAAAGATAAGAAAATTACAGGGTGAACAAGCCAGACTAAATTTAAGAGTACAAATATGCTCCCAGGCTTGTGGAGCTTATTAAGCAAAGCAGATTCCAAGCTGTCAGACCTAATTTTTACATTATGTATTCTAAAGTACAGTCATGTGAAAAAGAAAGTATAGTACACTCTCTTTCAATTGAATTGTTTTACATATCAGGACATAAATAACAATCATCTGGTCCACACTAACTTCTATAATTAGACAAATCTAGCCTCAGATAACAGACAACACATAACAGATTTCACTATGTCATTATTTATTTAACGCGTAAGCCAAAATGCAGAAACCATGTGGGAAAAAATAAGTATACCCTTATTGCTTCCATAGGAATTAAGGAAGATAATTAGCAGCCACGTTCTGCTAATCAAATGCAGTTGATTAGTTGATCATCAGGAAGAGTGACCACCTCTATAAAAACAGAACTTTTGGCAGTTTGGTGGTCTGGTGCATTCAGGTGTGTGTTAACACCATGCCAAGGAGAAAAGACATCAGCAATGATGCAATTGTTGCTGCTCATCAATCTGGGAAGGGTTATAAGGCTCTTTCCAAACAATTTAAAATCCATCATTCTACCGTGAGAAGGATTATTTTCAAATGGAGAACATGGGAGTTGCCAATCACCACAAACACCTCTTATCAACCGTCATGCATGGTGGTGGAGGGGTGATGATTTGGGCTTGTTTTGCAGCCACAGGACCTGGGCACCTTGCAGTCATCGAGTCGACCATGAACTCCTCTTTATACCAAAGTATTCTAGAGACAAATGTGAGGCCATCTGTCCGGCAGCTAAAGCTTGGCCGAAATTGGGTCATGCAAAAGGACAATGATCCCAATGACACCAGCAAATCTATAACTGAATGGTTGAAAAAGAAAAGAATCAAGGTGTTGGAATCTCAAAGTCCAGACCTCAACCTCGTTGAGATGCTGTGACGGGACCTTAAGAGAGCTGTGCATAAACGAATGCTCTCAAACATCAATGAACTGAAGCAATGATGTAAAGAAGAATGGGCCAAAATTCCTCCAAAACGATGTGAGAGACTGATAAACTCATACGGAAAATGATCACTGCTAAATAGTAGTAATAGCTGAAATAGTTATTGTTGCCCAAAAAAAGTTCTACAAGCTACTTAAACATGTGGTGTACTTAGTTTTTCACACATGGCTTCTGCCTGTTGGCTTATTTTTTGTTAAATAAATAATGACATAGTGGAATCTGTTATGTGTTGTTTGTCACATGAGGTTAGATTTACCTAATTTAAGGACCTGGTAAGAACCAGATATTTTTTTGTTATGTCCTGATATACGGTATAAAACCATAGAATTGAAAGAGGGTGTACTTTCTTTTTCACATAACTGTACAGTATATGGTAAATATGCAAGTATCAGCAACATGCCTTATCCAGTGTTGCATTTCTTGTTTTTCAGTCTCATATACTGCTGTTGTTACAAAGTAGGTAACCTAGTCTATTTTGTGGCAATATAACTGTGGCACAATAACTACTCAGAAGATGCTATTGGATTTTTCCCTAACATCTAGTGTCTACAGCAGCACTTTCTAACTCGGGTGCAGGGGAACCTTCTGTTGAATGTGATGTCCTTATTTCCAGAGAGGGAAATTTGAAATGTACTGTATACGTTTATAAATTTGAAGAGTATGCATTTTAATTTTTTGTAACTATCACACAAAAGATACAATTTAAAAGACATGAACAAACCTTTTAAAAATACTCATGCTTAATATATCCTACAAATTAGTAACATAACTTCATATATTTTTGTGAAACAAACAGGGAACAAAGTTTGAAGAAGTTTAAAAGTTAATAAATTAAATTCCTTAAGCTATAATTTTATCCATATCTGAAATCCTGACATCTAGGAATGCTGATCTAACAAGAAAACAATGAAAATTACACCATGATTATAATGGCATGATTGAAAGAAAACCATTTAAAGATTTTTCTGGAACTGGAAAACAATGGAAGTGCTAAGGGTACTAGTATAGAACTGAGCTGACCTGGAAGAAAAAAACAGCAGGTTTATGGGGTGCCAAATCTGGAAATTAGGAACTCAAGCTTTAGAAAAACTTGTGAGGATCACTGCTGGAGCACTCATGGTAATTTCTGCCTATGTGCAAGGATTTTACATTTGTTGTTCTTCCACTTTGGATTTTTTTTTTTGCCAAATTAGGAAAGCCAAACCTAACAGCAGGTTGTGGAGATCACAGTCAGAAGAAACAAAGAGGACGACATCATCCGCAAACACCAGACATGTGGCCCCCAGGTCCCCAAATTGGATACACTCCAGTTTGTCTGTCCAGTTACACTCAACTGTATCTTGATATCTCATCCATGAAAATTTCAAAGAGGAGAGAAGATAAGACACATCCTTGGCAAAGTCCAATACCCACATTGATCGTGCTGAGAATGTGGACACAGCAACATGGACCAGATAGCGAGCAGCTGCAGGCCCAGCAGCCTATACTCCTGCAGCACCTCCTAATAGATACTCTGGTGTACATGGTTATAAAAGTTCTCTAAGTCCACATAGCGTATACACAGGGGATGGCAAACTCCCAAGTTCTCTTAAATATCCTTGTGAGGACAGAGTTGTCCTTTTCCACGGCCGAGACAGAATCTGCATTGTTCCTCCAGTATCTGAGGCTTGACTATTGGTTGAGTCTCCTTTCCGGAACCCTGGCCCTTAGTCCTTGGAAGACTGAGGAGTGTGATCCCTCTCTAGTTGGAACACACCCTCTGGTCCCCCTTGTTAAAAATGAGGAGAAGCACCTCAGTCTGCCAGTCTTGGGGTACTGTCCCCACTTTCTGTTCAACATTGATCTCCTATAGATGTAATATAAGAGACCATATGTCTGTGTCATCCCTTGTAGTTCAAGCACTATTTATGCAGTAGGCCAGAGTGATGCTCTGTGAGAGAGGAGATTTGGTTAGTTTGGGTGGGTTTACACTCAATAATATGACCCAGCTTTCTACTTTACATGTGATATTTTATTGCTAGAAATATTATTATGGCTATCTTAAAGCAAGTTAAAGAAAGATTATTTTAACTGGCAAAAATTAGGCTTGCAGATTTTTTCTCAGCTTTCAGCGTTTCAAGTAAAGACAGAGATGAAGACTTAAAATATCTAATAATAAAATATAACAAGTAAAGGTTTATTCCATGCTGAGGAGAGAAAAAAAGAAACACAACGTTTCGGCTGTGGAGCCTTCTATGGGTGTCATTAATAACCACTAATAAAATTAATTTAATTAATAAAATGTAATCAATAATAAAATGATCAATTATTATTATTAATGGAAGTAAAATTGTATTAACACTCACGACAATATTGCAAGCTGCATAACAGGAAAATTAAAGACTTACTGTACCTTATGTCCTGCCCTGGTCGGGCCTGTACCAAAATCCGAACCTCCAATTCTTCTGTACCCTGCAATAAAACAGATCACATTAGGCAAAGTAGTGTCTACTACTGGAAAAGCTCAATTACAGTATCTCAAATGTAGAAATAATGTACATTGATTTCTGCTATTACGCGAGTTTCCAAAATGCAAATTTGCTCATACACGATTGGTAAAAAGGGGACAGATGTCTGTATAATGTGAAACTCGTGTTGGCCTATACGCAGTTTCATCCCTGACATGTTTACGCTTCGCATGGTGGAATAACATAACTGAACGTGGCGATCCGCGTACACATGATAATACACATGATGACACATGAGAATACACATGATGCTCAGCGGTCCCACGTGCTTTGTATTGGGAGTGCTAATTGGGAGGTGCTCTTCAATTTTCGTGCTATTTTCACTAAATTTTCTACATTGCTGTAAATATGAGTGGACAAGGTGACAAGAATATGTTTAAGAGGCATGCTGGTGATAATATTTCAGGTGGTGAACTTCACTTTTTTCCAAGGTAAAGTCCTAAATTTAATGTAGTATTTCTCTGTGTTGCACCCTCGCCTGGTGTCTTGGCAGTAGAACACCCAGACAATTAGTATGCGCCGCGTTGCAGGCTGGGAACCACTGGGAGCCACGAGTTTGTAATGACAAAAAAGATAGATTTCTCTCAGAATACATGTATTTCAGGAGATACAGACCACACCCTGACAGACAAATACAGACTATTTGAAAGAATATCAAATGACAATGAGAATTACAAGACTCACGGTACTTTGGCATTAACCTGCTGAGCTTTTGAAATAAACAAATAATTTGGTGCAAGGATAACAATCACAGAATTGAGCAATTATGAGTTATTTTTAATCCATGAGTAAACACTTATAACACTCTGGTAAAGTTCAGTAAATAGGTGGCTATTGCTTTTTCTCCTTTACACATACATTTACTTCTAAATGATTACTTCATGTTCTATCCACTTATCATTATCAAAGGATGATCTACAATTTTATCCAAGGTTATATACATATTCTTATACATAAATACTGTGATAAATTATGGGGTGGAATTGCTGAAGAGTGGAGCTTCTTGTAAAAGAAGAGTGTGTTGCTAAGCGACTTCAGTTGTAGGAACTTTGTAATCTACCAAAAACAACAGTGTACCTCCCTGAGAGAAGGACAAAACACAAAAAAATCCACCACATGTGATGCCATGGGGGCGGCCATCCCAAATGGGAATGATCCAGGCAGGAACACTGTGACTGACACGTCTATCACAATACCCACAGATATACTGTATCTTTGCATAAACACCCTTCCAGGCTAGAATGGCAGTTAGAAGCAGGAGTCACAGTGAAATATGGGTATGAATATTGATTATCGCTTTGTCCAAGCACAACATAACAGGAGATAGACTAGTTGTTTTGCCCATGACAGCTCATACTTTTTTTCTGTTCCTCAGGAACAAGTGTCGGCCTTTGTTTCAAGTTAAAAAATAATAGCAAGAAAGGAAAATTATTAGCTAAAGGAAGTCTTTAGTTTGAAAGTGACTGTTTCTGGAAGAAGATTTGATGGCATAAATGGTGAGTCATCAGCACTTTAAGTCATCTCCTTCCATGTTCTGCTTTTTTTAAACTAAGCAAAGGGGAGAAGGATGACTTAACTCCAGTGTGCCTAAACTAATATAAACAACTAGTGAGAAACACAATACTAATTGTGCTGGCGATCAGAGAGTGTAATCAGCTGCTTGATAAGTACTAATGAGGTAAGATATGATAAGAACTAACTAACTTGCCAAAATTGTTGCATATTGTCTTACAAAATTAGAAACTTATATCACTTGTTATTTACTCTTGTAAATTTAGTTTTAGGACAATTAAAAAGAACACCAAAAAACACGACATAAAATGAAAAAGCTCTGTATTTTTGTGAACTTTCTTTTTCATACTACTTAGGGACAAGAATGCATGCTCGTTATGCATAGGGTGGCAGCTATTCCTGTGTTCAAGCCTTGACTGAGCTAGGCACATATTCCACAACCTGTGTAATTCACCAACTATGGGTCATCAGATTATACACAATAATGTAATTATATCCTCTTTCTCAAACCATTTCAGTTGATTTTACAGAGATGTACTATTGAATTTCAGATAAAAAACAGAAGAACAATAAAAAATCTAAAGTCGGTACATACATGACTTTATGAGTGTCTCTGTGTTACACTCCCATGCACATTAAATAAAAACTTCTTTTTACTTCAGAGATGGACTCCTGAAACGAAAACTGGGAATAATGCAAGTTTACGGATTGCTAGAGCAGGTAAGCCCCACACTATTTGTAAAGAACTTTGTTTGCCGTTGGCAAAAGAGCTGACATATATTATGTGTGGAGAAAAAGCTTCTAAACTGCTTGACCTGCTGCCCCTTTCAAATGACACAGTCACTTGTAGAATTATTGATATGGCAGATGATGTCAAAAGTACACTGATAGAACGTGTTAAGATGAGCAAATGCTTTTCACTGCAATTAGATGAGTCTGTAGATGCTGTTGATTTGGCCAATTTGCTTGTTTACGTTAGATATGAGTTTTAGGGCATGTCCCATGAAGACTTTCTGTTCCATAAGCCGCAACCAACAAGAAATACGGGAGAGCAGATATTTCAGCTTCTGAATGAATTTATCAAAGAGAATGGCATCGACTGGAAAAAAAGTGTTGGAGTTTTTACAGACGGTGCTAGAGTGATAACAGAGACACAGCGGTGTAGTTGAAAGAATTAGAGAGGATGCTCCAGATATGAAGTGGATACATTGCAGCATCCACCATGAGGCCTTGGCAGTCAAGAGGATTTGCCTGAGGAATGCCTTACGATTTAAAATCTGGCAGACTCTGGCTGTCAAAGTTGTGAATTGTATCAAGGCTCAACCAATGAATTCACATTTGCTTTGCTCGACTAAACAGGCTCACCCCTCTCACTGAAATGGTAAGTGCTCAGTGCTATTTTTATTAGCACCACCAAATACACTAAAAACTCTCTTCCTTTCTCACAGTTCCTTCGGCTATGACAACTCTGTAGCGATGACATCGATTTACACAATCAAGCCCTCAAAATGTACTATTTTTTCATCAGGAGAGTGTTATTGAAAGGGCCCTTGCCCGAGCCAAAAACACCCCTTGGACCATCAACTCGAGCAGCAACTCCTGCCGTAACAACTGCATTCCTTTGGTGCTTCCGTACCACTCCAATTCAGTTTCTATCTCCAGGACTATTAATGACAACTTTTCTATCCTACAGGATGATCCCTCCATTGGGGCCCTCTTCTCTGACCACCACATCATCTCATATCACCAACCACCTAACCTATTTAACCTTCTTGTTCACAGCTCCCTTGACCGCCCTCAGCAACCATCCACACCAGGCACTTTCCTTTGCAACAGAGCTCGCTGTATCACCTGCAAATACATATCTAACACCGCACTCATTCAAGGCACCTCAGGACAATTCTTGATCACTCTTCATTGGGGAAACAGGAAGGAGACTCGGAGACCGCTTCAGAGAACATGCTAGGAATGTGAAGATCAAAGATTTCTCCAAGCCTATTGTTTCTCATTTCACCTCTGACAGCCATGATCACACTAATCTCTCTATCTGTGTTCTCAAAGATGGTTTTCCTAACTCCCACATCAGAAAGACTATAGAAACTAAAATTATCCTGCAGCTAGGATCACACCTTTCCCCTTCTCTCAACGACAGACTCATTTTCTTCTAAATTCTCTCTATTCATTGTTGTTTTAATTTCACACCTCTCTTCACCCATCCTGACTTCACACTACCTGATTGGCCACCCTGTCTGTCCCCTGCTCCCGCCTCCTGCCTCCCGCCCCTCCTCTCTCCCAGCTTTTGTTCTCTTATGCTTCATTACCTTTGCTTACTGCCCTGTCTTTCTCAACCTGAAGAAGGCTCCACAGACAAAACGTTGTGTTTTATTTCTTTTCTTTTCAGAAAGGAATAAACCTATTACTTGTTCCTTTGCATCCTATGCATGCTGACGCAGTTACCCACCTGAGCTATGTTTATTATATGTGTATGTGAGTGTATGTACGCGCTCATGTTGGTCATTTTCTGTGGTTCCTATGAGAAGATGACTTGTAGGTGGTACTTGGATGCTTTGGTTTGATCAGAGGTGGTCCAAAAAGTTTGAGAACCGTTGGTCTAGGCCACCTGTGTGGAATTAACTACCAGGATAAACCCATGACCATAAATCAATTGGGATCTTTCAAGAAATGGTTGAATTATCTTGTAGAGACCTTGTGATTAATGTGAGCTGAATGCATTCATGTATTTTGCAGTCTTTACAATAATTTCATGCTCTATTAATTAATGCTTAATAAACAAATAAAAAGAAAGAAAAACATTGTTTAAAAATTTATTTGCAAAAAAAGAGGATCTTCACCTCCTGAAGTTTTTAGAAGCTTGGGGTTTCATGTAAAGCTTTTGGCTTGAAGAGCAAGAAAACAAACAGAAGCTTGGGGACTCACATCTTCTGATTCCCGGATGAGCTCCGTATCCTCCACCTGCACCACAGCATCAGCCCCACAGGGGATGGGGGCTCCTGTTGTCACACGCATTACCTGGCCAGGCATTACAGTATGGGTCGGCTGAAAGACACAGGAACACAAGGGAAATCATCATCGGGTATCTTCAAACTGCAGCAGAACAAAGAAAATATTAGACTCCTTGTCCTTTTATTTCAATTACTAATGACCCCTCTAAAAAACTTAAACCAGTACAATTATGATCGTGTCAGACATGTACATAATAAACATTAAGCAATGCAATGCACTAGCAAGATCTTATTTTGAATGCTTTATATAATTTTAGTGTCACATTACAAGAAGTACATGGTTTCTCTTGGTATCATTTCACAATTAATGCCTTCTTTAAAGAAAGATTCACAGATCAGAGGAATCTTTTATGTTTTGTGTACAGAAGGTTACAGGGGAAACTGTTGCAGGTACAGTATGTGTTTTGAATATACAGTACGGAACTAATGCCTAGCTGTATTGTGAAGGCATCTTAAAAGAAGCTAGATGAGATGTTTTGAGTAATAAGCTACTGATAGCAAACAAGATAAGCCAATTATTTATGTAAAATAAAAGGTGCTTTGTTCTAAAAATATTTTTTATATTTATTTAGATTTTAATAGTTGACCTACACTGTTCATCACATCAGAGAGATAATCAGCCAAACAAAAAATATATTTAGGCACCAACTGTGTTGTGCTAATTTACTGATGTACTGCCACTGTTTCTCCATTAGCCTCCACTGTGTTCTCAAGGCAGGAAGAAACACTTTTACGTTTTTCACCAATTAAACATGATGATGAGGACCGGGTGTAATTGTATCTTTAGAAAGGGAAATAAATTGCAACCTTCTTTATCTGCTTTGCTAACGAAAACTGTGAAAAAGGCTCAGTATTTTTTTTTATTCTTAAAGGAAAGCAAAAAAGCAACCTTAAGGTTTTGGAGTTTAGCTGCATTAGTCCTAGTAAAGAGTTCATGGTTAACATATCCACAGAATGAATTTTATTGAAGTTTATACTTTTCCCAGAATTATACCGTAACCTCAGGAGGGAAAAGGGATGGTACTGTATGAATTTGACCTGCAAAGTATTCCAAGACAGAGCAGACCCAGGGTGCGCTGAAACATTCAGCACTGGCTCAGTACTGACTCCCATCACAATGTTTAACTAACAGACCTTACCTGCTCGCCTGCCTGAGATTCTCCAATTATAAAACGATCTCCTGGCCCATCAGCAGCTGAAAAATTGAGAAAACTATCAAGATGCTTTTTACTTTTATTACTATTTTTTTTAAAACCAAAAGTTAACTACTTTTTGGTGTCAAGCCAGAGAAAATGCTTGTTTTATCAGTTTTTGTAAGTCATTTATGTTAAATTTGTTATGCATTCTGTACGTGCAGCCCATATGAAACCCCATGATTTATGCCATTAAGAAAACCAGGACCTTGTTTCATTGCAATTTGTTCTTTGGTCCAAATACAGTTTCTTAGCCATAAATACCTAAACACAAATTTAGTGAAAAGAAGAAAGTTTATGGAACTTAATTTGATGATCATATTTTCTTTTGAGAACATCTGAAACAGTTAAAAAACATCTATTTATAGAACATTACTGCAGCAAGGCTCCGCAAAGTCTTACAGTACATGACAACATACTGCTTTAATCGTTTAGGTGTCTTGTCTTTTTGTTTATCTTTATCATCCACACAATAAGGCTTCCATATTATTAAAAAAATATTTTGTAATCATCTGTCAATAACACAGCAGAAAGTTGTGTAAAGCAAACATCTTCAGAAAGACAGCTTGTAACATGGACATTAGCATTTCCTAGCTTCCAGGACTGAACATTTTTGAAGATTTACAGAGTTAGTACTGTACATCCCATGGGATGGGGGCAAATTGCTAGTTGTTCAGGGGACTAGCAAATAATTGTGAATGAAATCTCTGAACAGAGAAAACTTAATAAATTAAAAACAAATTAAGACACAATGCTATTCATGTGTATTATCTTCTTATTGCTCTGAACTAAGGAAAATGCATTTTCTCACCTGGAAAACAGATCTTAAAACACCGCACTCACATTTTAGTTTGACATTAAACATCACTTAACATAATTTTAATAGTATCATTGAATAGTGTAATACCTACATACTAATTTGTCACTAATACATATTTCCCTGGAAAGAGACATGTTTTCATGATGACAAAGCTAAGTGAAATCACAAGTGTGCCAAACATCGTACTATTTAATATTTGACATGTGTCAAAAACTATACTTAAAAAAATAAAATCACACATGCCTACATGCCTACACTGCTCAAAAACTGCGTAGATGTTGTCTATGTAAAGATTTAACTTGATTAGCTAGAATTCAAACCCACCATTTACAAACATGTTAACAAACTGAGGTTGTCAACCAGGAATCAATCCCCCTGATTTAAACATTAATTAAGGACTTCCTGAGTAGCTCAGATGGTAAAACTGCAGCTTGAACATTATGGTTAAGGATTCGAGCCTGGGTAGTGTCACTGGCTGACTTTGACCAGGATTTCCAAGTAGTGGTGCACAGTCGACTGAACACTGCTAAGGCCATTGGAAGGGATTTTCTTGGATCTCAGTGACCCAAAGATACTTCCCACACTCTCTCAGGTTGTGCTGCTGCTAGAGCTCTCAACTTACTGGGTCACAACCTCTGGTATGGAGTTGTCTCTGTGTTGACTGATTAGTTAAAAGACAAGTGACTTTGTAGTTGGGCAGGTCAGAGAAGTTTGCATATACAGTTCACTTCTCATTCACGCACAATTAGCTATTCCAAACGAAACAAAAATAATTGTGAATTATCAAAACAATATTAAAAATATATTTATTTAATTATACACAATAGACCTACATTGATCAGAGTGTGGAACCCACTTATACAGCATGTAATGCTAAGGGGGTACCGGGGGGGGGAGATGGATGAGATTGTGACACCAGAACAATAGATTTGTAGATTTTGAACACATTTCAAACAAGACTAAGGATTTTGTTTTTGAACATTTTAAATGAAAGATCATGAACACAAAATTATTCAGTTAGGAGAGCTTCAGCGCACATGCCAGTTTGCATTTGCTCCAGATTTGTTACACGGCTCAAAGGGCAATTTCATATTAATGCTTCATGTAAACTCACATGTCTCATGGTCTATTAGAAGCCCAGTGTTTTTTCAACCACTACAACCACTGAGCACCACATTGTACTCAGACTAGGACTGAGACTCTAGGACAAAGGACACAAATTAAATTCCATGTAGTTTGAAAACCAATTTTTGTTCTTATTGTATGTCCACTACCACAGTATAACAACAACTCTATTAAGTACCTCATTTAAAGCAGTTTTGAAAAATGAATGAAGACTGGAAAGGGTTCCCAAAAACACAGATAAATATTCTACCACACCAGCACAGGTACTGTTTAGATAGATAACCTAAACTCAAAAACAAAGCTCATTTTGTACAAATCAGTGGGAACAATATTTGCATTTTTATTTTGGATTTTTAGAATTTAGAATCACCAATTACATTTTAGCATACCCCCAATCTGTAATCTTTGTTTCTCTGTAATGTTTCTTTTTTGTATAGAGGCATAATTTAAATATTGAAGCATTTGAAAAAAAATTACCTCGTACTGCGTAGCCATCCTTAACTGAAGCTGGGAATGGCGGCAGATTGTCTTTAGCATATACATCCTGCGCAAGGACTCGACCCATTCCATCTGGAGCGGAGAGAAGTGTACATGTTGGAAAGGCTACCACATATTAAAAGAGTAACATCCTATTATTAAATTTCTGTTCTTTCATCAGTACGAAGACATCCATAATAGTATTTAGAATCCAGATTTATGGAGGCTCCATTTTAAGTTGGGGAGTCAGAGAGGCTTTAATACCTGAATGTTTCCTGGTCTCTACATCTTATCTTTACAAAGGAATGTGTCAGAAGGCTATCTTCATGGAAAAACTGCCCTTGTTATTGCTCACGTGACTAATTTTTTCAGAAGAGAACAGAAATATATTTTCAACCCTCTGGAAGACAGCCAAAAGCATTCTTCTTGCTCTGTTATTCCTTTGCAATTTTGATTTTTTTTTACTCAATAAATACAGCAAATAAAATTTCAAGAGGAGATTAGCTCTTCTCAAATGTGAAAAATAAATGTGTCATCCATCCATTTTCTAAATATCCATCTGTACATTTTCCAGCTGCTTCATCCAATTTATGGTCACAGGGGACCTGGAACCTATCTCAGCAAGCAACGAGCGCAAGGCAGGGTTCACCCTCAATGGGACAGCAGTCCATCACAGGGCACACACAGACACATACAAGCCAATTAACCTAAAAGTATGTCTTTGGACTGTGAGAGGAAGCACCCAGAGAAAATCCACGCAAACATGTAGAGGCCGAACAAACTCCAAACAGAGAGCACCCCAAGTCTGGAACTGAACGCAGGGCTCCAGCTCTGCAAAGCAGCAATGCAAACCCTTGCAACATTGTGCCACGCATGTGTTAGTAATAAAGCTCAATATTCCAGTAACCTTTCAGTTTTCATGAATTACTCAAAGTTTAATCTGCAGTGAAGTAATTTTTTGGCAACTATGTGTAACACTGTAAGTAAGTGTAAGAACAGACATACTAGCTAATTACTATGCAAAAGTCTTTCTTTTGAAATATATTGTGAAGTGTTACCTTGTCCAGTACATTATTATGTATTGTGTAGCAGCAAGGCTTATTAAAAATACAGGAATTAAGTTTGCTGCTCCCTTGCCAGTCTCTCTCTCCCTCATCTCAGTGGTGCTGGATACAGAGAGGCCATTCCATTCAGTTCACATTTAAGGTGTTTTTCTATCTGACAGTTTCCTGATAAAGAACAACTAACAAGGCTGAGATTCTCCAGCCATCCTTATAAAAGGTCATCTCTGGCGCCTTACTGTCTGGGAGATTCCTTGGGAGAGTCTCATCCCAGGTTGTTTACAACCCTTACAGATGCAGCCATTCAAAGTGAGCGGTACAGACACGTACCGCAGGTAATTGGCTGAGGTGTCGTGTATCATGATGTAAGATGACGCGGGGTACCGCAGTGTGTGATTGGTTGACTGACAGGGGCACTCGTGGTCCGTTGGTCTGTTGTAGAAAGACTTACTGTAAACGTCTTTACTGTGCCCGTTGTAGATATTGAATTTTACCACTGAAGGGAAATCTTAGTAGCTGAGCATAAAAAGAATAGGAGCATACTGTAACGCGTATGAAGGCCATAAACGATATTAA